ACACCAGGCGGGGGAGGCGGTGAAAGGGGGAAAGGGGAAGGGGGTGCGGTGGGGCAAGCGACCAGTGTTACACAAGACTGGGCACGCATCTGTTTGACAATCCACGCTGCCGCCTCCCGGTATTGGCAGCTTCTGTTCTTGCGACAACGCAACAAGGTACGCCAGCTGGCAGCCCGAGGTCAGCTCACATCCATGCCATCGGCAAGGAGCTGCACCCGCTGTTGGATTTTCTTACCTTCACTGCCGGGGCTGGCGAGCACGAGGAGCAGAAGTGCGCATGCTGTCATGACCTCGGCGCAAGCCATCGTGCGGTGTTGCCTTATTGGCAGCACTGGAGCCAGATATGAGCGACCTGGCGTGTGAAAGTTTGCTCCTGAATTCGGATGTCGTTGTGGCTCATGGTGCAAACAGATCCGGGCAGTTTCGCAACTGTCAACTGCGTGACACGACGACTCCTCCGAGGAAGCGAGATCAAGCGTCGGCTAGGCGTGCGGGAATCTTCTGGCAACAAAAGGGTGCCGAAGACAGAAGGAGACATCGAAACAACGCAGTGAGCTTGCTGTGTATGAACGCAGCCCACAGCTCGATCAATTCCCATCACAGGCACAACACCAGAGTCTGTGTCCGGTTTCGCCGCACAACCAACATCCATCGTATGCTGGCCATGACGGCGTGCCACAAGTCTTGCCTGCAGCGCATACTCCGTTGCTCTTACAAAAAATCAAGGCAATGTCCGCCAAAACCTATCAAGCTGCCGGCCAGCTAGGCGTCTGCCACCCGCCGGCTCGACCGCGTCCGCAGGTTGTACCGCGGCGCGCGCTGCCGCGAAGGGGACGCGTCACTCCTTGGAGACCGCAGCAGCTCTTCTTCCGCGTCCTCTCCACGGCCGCCGCCCCAAAGCGCGCCAGTGCCCCCGTTGCCTAGCTCTCGTCCCCGTACTGCTTCTGCCTCCAGAGTCCTATCGCCTGCTTGCTGCTGCTGCTGCTGCTGCTGCTGCTGCTGCGGCTGCTCCTGCTCCTGCTCCTGCTCTAAACCCTCGTGCTCGCCCTCCTTGACCGGCGCCGGCCCCCCGCGACCACAGAGCGAGGCCAGCCGCCGCCGGCCCGAGCTCTGAAAGGCGTGCGCGCCGCCGGCGTTGCCGTTTGGCTGCTGACCCGGCTGCTGCTGCCGCTGCTGCTGGTGCTCCTGCTGCTGATGCTGCTGGTGCTGGTGCTGGTGCTGGTGCTGGTGCTGCTGCTGCTGCTGCTGCTGCTCGCCCCCCATCGCATGACGCATGAACGACATGAACGGTCGTGAGCCTGTAGCGCCCGCCTGCGGATGCGGCTGCCCCTGCCCCTGCAGCGGCTGCCCACCTTGCGCCGCCGCAGTGGCCTGGGGCCCCGCAAACAGCCCCTGGTGCGCGCCGGCGCCGCCGCCTGCGCCGCCGCCGCCGCCGCCGACCGCCGCGGCGGCGTCGGCGCCCAGCGCGCCGACGCCCACAGCCTCGACGATCTGCGGGCGCGGCAGGCAAGTAGATGGGGGACAGCGGCGCGCAAGGGGGTATATGTGACACCGCAAAGGGCTACGGTTCAAGCTCTTACTGCGTCAGCCCCAAAGCTGGCTGGCAGGGTGCCGTGAGCTGCTGGACCCTGCAGCAAGCATGCACACTCGAGGGACCCAGACCGCAGGCTCGCCGGCCGCAACAGCAGCTGCGCGGCACAGCCCCCCCGCCTCCCAATCCCCCTTCTTAGCCGCCTCACCCGC